GGCCCGGCAGGGGCCCCGAGGTCAGCGGGCACCTGACCCCTAGGGTGGTGAGGAGCCTCCCTGGCTCCCCTGAATGCTATTGGGGGTGAAGTCTTTGCTTGCTGTGAACTCCCTCTCCACACCGCAGCAATCACGGTTTTGGTACCCATGTGCCCCGTCTAGTCCAGAGACTCTCCCCAACCCAATGCCTGCCAAAGGTGGTGAGGGGCTGCAAGCTGTAAACAAAGAGGGTTCTTCACAAGCACGGGGTCGAGTCAAAGTGCCCACAGAACTTCCGTGTGGGTGTTGGGCAGTCCCCGCCCAGCGCCAGTCCTGTATCCAGCACCTGCCCCAAGTCCAGCAGCCCAGCATCCAGGGCCAGCCCTGCATCTGGCAGCCCCACAGAGCCTGCTCTGGGAGGCAGCTCGGGTGGTGACCTGGGGGTGCCATCTCCATCCCTAACAGCCTCACCCCCACCCTTAAGCTACAGAGGTGAAGTCTGATGTGACAATGACACATGAGCATGCGCAGGGAAGACCCCGGGCAGCAGAGTGCACGGGGGGGCGGGGCCTCGGACGCTGAGCAGCTGACCTGGGGGGCAGGGAACCAGGGGGCCTGCAAGGCTGGGACCTGGGCCCAGATAGGCGGCAGCAGCAGCCATCATGGCCATCGGAGGAAGGATTTGACCAAGGCCATGACCCATGTGGAGGCAGCTTGTCTGTCCATCATCGGAGCCCGTCCCTGTGGAGTCTGCACAAATATTACTCTCTCCGACCTGAGCCCCGGACAGTAAATTGCCACAAAGTGAGAGCCCACAGTGGACGGGAGTACAGCAGGGGGTCACCCGAATCCTTCCAAGACTCTGTAGTCTCTGCTTTTGAAAAACGTGGCAACACTGCAAAGCAAATATCCACAGGCACAGATACAGAAATTAAATGCAAATACTGTTGCACTGCATAGAAAGTACCTGTTACTTTCATATGAAGCATCAGGCAAAGAAATCATTAATAAGGAAGCCCATTTTAAAATTAATTTTTCCATGTAGTTGCAGACGCCGTGACAGAATGCATAAATAGGCATTCTGCATTATATGCAACCCACAAAGACACTGCCGGTTTCTTGTGAGACCTCCACACCATTCAGGAACTGTCAGAGGGACCACTAGCATCACCTTGTCCAAATTTACATTTAAAATTAAGTTCAAACTTACACAAAATGGATGTGTGTGAAGAACAGAATCTTTGGCAAAACGACTCCATAAGAACATCTGATCTAGACATACTGAAATTTATATTTTTCAAGTTTATCACAAATTTATGTCAGTGCTGTCACAACCTTTAAGTCTCCAGTAACAGTCACAGTGAGCAGGAAGGGCCTTCTCAAAATAAAAGAATTATCACAAGTTATTTGCCATCTTGTGTTTGCCAGCAGTGACTAACGCTGCTTTTAACTTTACCAATTGAGGTATAAATTTTTTTTTGGTTCTCTTTTTGGGGGGTAATTAGGTTTTTATTTATGTATTTTTTTTTTAAATGGAGGTACTGGGGATTGAACCCAGGACCTTGTGCATGCTAAGCATGCACTCCACCACTGAGCTATACCCTCCCCACTGACGGATGTATAAATTTTGATGACTCATACAACTGACTTTGCAGAAGAATGAGCCAGAAAACTTACAATGAATCAAAACATCACGCTAGGTGTTATTATTGATTACATTATATAAAACTATTACACCAAAACATTTTTTTCAATTTACAAGTTTATGTTAGTCATGTATCACTGCTATTCCTCTTACATTTTATAAGTAAACTATTTTTAATGGAAAAGCCTTACACTGTTTACCTTCAATAGCACTTTTTCCTGCTTTTTGAACAAGGGGCCCCGCATTTTCATTTTTGAGCCCAAGCTACTTATTTTAGGCATAAGTTCACTAGAGGTTCATTACTTTCCAAGCCAGGCCTCGATTCGGATTAGAGCTTTTGAAGACTTTGGAAGGAGTGGGTTGGGGAATGCTATTCACCTTTGAATTTGAACCTGAGAGGACAGGAGGATGGAAAAACATTTTTAGTAAGAGATGTCTGAAGGGGAAGGCTTCTAATATGATCACCTGCAGGGAGGGTACAGTTCAGTGGTGGAGCATGTACTTTGCATGCACAGGTCCTAGGTTTAATCCCCAGTGCCCCCATTAAAAAAAAATAATAAAATTTAAAAATTTAAAAATCTAAAAAAAGAGTTAAAAGAGTACAAAAGAAAAAATAAATTTCTTATCATGGATACCAATTATCATAAAAAGTAAAAATACAAAATGGAAAGAAAGCAAAAAGGGCCTGAACCATGGTGAAACCAGTGGATAAGACCACCTGTGTCCTCCAATCCCAGAAGCTGTCGTGATGACGTGGGGCCAGGGGTGCCTTCTGGCAGCTGCAGGGACAGGGGCGCGGGGATGGGGATGTGGGGACAGGGACACAGGGATGGGGACAGAGACAGGAAAGGGGATGGGGACGCGGGAGGCAGAGATGGGGACGAAGGGACAGGGATGTGGGGACAGGGATGGGGATGGGGATGGGGATGGTGACAACGGCCACACTGGCGGCATTTCTTCTGCCAGCTCTGTCCCGCCTGACCTGACTTGTGGTGTGAGCACAGCCATCACACCGCTGAGGGGGACATGGCACCTCCTTCTCACCTGCATCCGCGAGTGGGAGCAAGTTCCTGGCCCCACACCGACTCCAGGCGCTTAACCACTCAGTTCCAAGCCCACCACCCAAGGAGCCGCTCCTCAGCCAGTGAGTTGCTGTAATTCCTTCTCTCTGTCCAGCTCCCTGGGGTGGTGAGGCCGCGGGAGAAGGGAGCCTGCACAGTCGCGCTGCACACGCCTCGGCCCCTCGTTTCCCACCGTGTCCTTTCAGTATCACCTCTTCCATGAAGCTCCCCTGCCCCCAGCACTAAAACACCTGACGCCTCTCAAGTGCTTACCACTTAGGGTCTCCACACCCTCGTTTATATGCGTATCATCTTCGGAATGTACTTAAGTGCAGATGTGTGGACGAATTCACGTTTACCCCGTCACAGATCCCTGCGCGTGGCGATTACCGGTCAATTACAAAGTCCACCATCTGACATGTGCATCTTCATAGGTACCACCTACCTTAATTCCCTTTAAAGTTTTTGGATTGTCGGAAGAAGAGGCTGGACGCTGTAGATGTAACATCACACTAAGTCCAAAGTGTCCATTTTGCAACATAACTAAACCCATTTAAATGAAGACAGAAAGTATCCTGAGGCCGAACCTCTTCATAATCAGGTTCACGGCTGTTGAGTTTAAGAATCTAAGTTTTCTAAAGAGAGTCTGTCACAAGCCTCGAGTCTGGATATTTTCAAAGACCACACTGGTGTCACTGTCGGCCAAGGAAAGCTGTACTCCACCCTCCTAATTCACAAAAGCCGCATCTCAGGGAGCCAGAAAAGACAGAGCAGGCTCATTTCCAATGGATAAATCTGGCCCCACAGCTACGCGGGTATATCCCAGTGTCCTCCAAACCAGATTTTTGTTTTTTTAAATTTTTTTTCTTTCCATGAAACCTCTAATTTGTGAACTTTCAGGCTGAGCGGGAGCCAGTGTCTGCGTGGGTGGCAGGTGCCCACCGCGTGCCCGTCTCAGTGGGCGGCCCCCCACCCCCTGGCACCCCCCTCAGCCAGAGGGACCCGCAGCTCACCTCCTCGGCGGGATGCCGTTTTCCAGACGTGTCGTCTGACTTCGGAGCCAGCGGCGCTGGTAACTGCTGGAAGAGGACGTTGAGGAGCTTGGAGATGGGAAAGGGGTGACCAGAAGGCTGCTGAGTGAGGCTGTGGGGCAGAAAGTCCGAAAGCTGAGCTCAGCGCGGCCACCTGAACCTGCACTTTGAAACACAAGCCAAGTCACCTCAACCTTCAGGCCCTCCCAGCCACCCCCAGCAGGGGGAGACTGGCTTCTCTAAGACGGCTGTACAGCCAAGAAACGTCCTTTAAAAGGAACAAATCCAAAGGAATGGGGATGGCAGGCACAGCCAGGGCACCACTGCAAATGCAAACAGCCGCTGCTCCCCTGGTCCGTGCACACGGCAGGTCTCTGACGGCGGGGTGCACCCAACTACGGTACTGCTCCCCAGCGACGGAAGCCACGCACGCTGTTCACCTACACACACTTCCCCTCCTGGCTACTTCTTCACTCTGTGTTTTGAGGGGAAATTCAGGAGCTCCTCCTGCCCTCAACCCCCAAATACACACCACCACCCACCCTCCCCCAGCCCTGCCACTCCCTGGCTGTGAAGGCGCAAGCTCTAGCCCCGAGCAGATTTTCTGCCTGGATTACTCATTTGCCTCCCAGCCTCTCTGCTTCCTCCTGTACGTGGTCCCCGAGCTGCACCAGGTCTCGCAGTAAGCGTGAGCCGCACGCCAGCCCGACCAGTCCCCATCCGGACAGGCAAAGAGCATCTTTCAAACCCCAGCTGCTGGGCGGGGGCTGCTGGTTTAGAAGAACAGAAAGAGGAGATGGAATTCTTCTCCTTTTACTGCCCCAGGGCTCAGGGACCAAGACACCAAAACGTTACTCGGTCCAGTGGAGGAGGGAACGTTACAATGGCCGGTCAACATTTTCAGAAGTGAGTCATGCACGGGGCAGAGGACACGGATTTCAGTAAACGCAGTATACTACACTCATGGGTAGCACTTGGAAGGCAGTTTCTCCACACAAACCATCATATTCCTATTTATACTCTACAGGCAGATGGAAATAAGCCAAGTCCCTTGGCCTGAGTTCCAGAATCCTGCCAGAGTGACTTGGTGGCAAGTCAGGTGTCTACGGTGTGCCGGGCACCGTGTGTGCACCTGGGGTCCCCCATGGAGCTGCACGGCCACCAGGCTGGAGTCCCACACAGCTAGGATGCCAACGGCTCCGGTGCCACGAGCATCTCTGACATGCTCTTCCTCTGATCTGGTCTGATGCACAGAACACATGCCTGCTAGATCTTATTCATCTTTGATCCTTGTACCCAGGAAAGCGCCGGGGACACAATAGACAATTAGTAAACGTTTGCAGATGGATGGCGCTTCTGCACTGGTGTCACCAGATGAGGCTGGCCCCAGCAGGCGACCAGGTCTCAGCCTTGAGGCTGGACTCAAACCTCCAAAATCAAATCCCTCTTCCAAATAGCAGTGGGCAGGTAGCGTTACTGAGAATTCTGAAGGGGGAGAGAAGAGAATTTTCTCTCAAAGTCACACAAAATTACTTAATAAAAAACCCTAATTAGACACTTCTGCCTGCCCCCAGGTTCCCAAAGCCCCCTGTAAGACGCAGGACATTCTTGTCCCTTATTCCCACACCTTCAAGGTTCCCTGTCTCTCTCCCGGTGTCAGGCTGAGCAAATCACCTCCTTGGCAGGTGGATGACAGGGTTGAGGGCCAGCACTTGTACTAGAAACATTTCTTCCCTACCAGAGAAGCAGGCGGAGATGACCCCGAGGTCCAGTGTGTGCTGGGCGGCGTGCTGCTGCGTCCCTGGGTTCAGTGAAGTGAGGAAGAGCCCGGACTCCTGCTCAGACCCCAGCGCTGCCACAAGGGCGGCTCGCCTAACCTGTCAGCGTTCTCGTCTGTGAGACGGGGGCAGGAAAGGACCGCGCCTCAGTGTGTTTCGGGAGGGGTGCAGTCTGTAGTTGGTTAGGGATTGTTTAGTGGATTAAAAAAAAAGCAGCAGAAAAGAAAATAAGAGTAGATTGTAGCATTAATATAAAGGGAGGACACTTTTGTTTGTTATGTATAAAGATGCTTGTTACTGGATCATGATGTGAAATGCATTCACGTGGGCTGCAGACAAAAGAAAAGTCTGCAAGCCACTGACCTATCTCAGAAGGTTCCTGTGAGGATTAAACACATCAATTCACGTCAAACACTTAGCCCGGCGCCCCGCACAATAAATGTCAGCTGTGCTCTCTCTCTGATCATTCTTGGCAAAGGTGCGTTAAGGAAGACATTTCGGAGTACTCAGAGGTCATTCATTCTGATTACTTAATTATGGAAAGAACCTAGAACTTGTAATACAGACATGAAAAGGAAAGGCAAAAAATTAAAATAATAATAAAAAAACCCCCGAGGAGGATGTCCTCTTATCCTCACTATAAAACGCTGAATAACAATTTTTATGGAAGACATAAATGAACTTATTTACAAAGCAGAAAGAGACTCACAGACATAGAAAACAAACTTATGGTTATCGGGGGGAAGGGGAGCTGGCAAAGACATCCTCCAGTTGATGCCTCACTTGTAAGATGGGAGACTTTTGAGTGAAACTCGTCATAGGCTGTTTCAGCTTTACAAGTGCTCTGTCTAACACGCCTTAATGTTGTTAGTCTCACTTTCCTTTTCAGAATACTTTTCTGATTAGAAAAAAAATGGTAATACATACAGCTTGCAAAGGCTTCTGCAGTTCTGCACATTAGTAAGAAAGTGGGTGATGCCTCCATCCCCACCCTTCTGGCGGAGGGGAGCTCTTCCACGAGCATCTAGTTACTGCTGCTGAAATGTGCAGTGAGAACAGAGAGTGAGTCTAAAGGCTTAAGAATGCTGATTGCTGGCTCTTCTTGGGCCTGTGTCATTTGTCATTCAAGTTCAAGATCAATGTTTAACTTTCTTTGGAAATACGGTTGCTCTTGGGCCAGTTTACTAGAAAGACTGGACTGATGATCCGGCTGCAGACTTTGGATCTGAAGAAATAATGCCCTGAAACTCTTACGACACGTTTCCTGAGCACGGAATAAATAAACACCCTGATTTCAGATTGTGACAAGGTCATGCGATTTTCTTGAAGCAGCTAGGGCAAAGGTTTACGGGGGTGGTCAAGGTAAACTTTCTAATCAGCGGTTGGAGAACAGCCTTGTGAAAATGGGGCATCTCAACTAAGACTTAAAAGCCAGGAGACCCAGCCATGGGAAGGGCAGCCCAGCTGTACTGAATGAAAGTAGCTGGATATATTAATAACTCTTTCAAAAACCGATGTGCATTTCTCCCTGTATATACGGGGACATATACATCCCCACTGCCCTGATTCAAACATCCTTTGAGCATCTTCAATATATGTGCCGGGTGGACTCGGCCTCGGGGCATAGAGCAGTCAGCAGACACAGGAGGTGGGTCTCCGCTCTCAGGGAGCTCACGTGCTAGGGGAGAAGAAGAAACAAAGATGCCCGAGGAAGCACAGGAGACCCACAGAAGGTGGTGAGTCACAGGGAACCCCCTGGACCCTGGAAAGGGAAGACTGAGGGTTGGAGCTCAGACGCTGCTGTCATTTCTCCAGTGGGAGAATTCTGAGGCTCGCTGACGCAGCTGGAATCCGTGATCACGGGATCAAAGGCGCAGCAGCACGCCCGGAGGGTGGAGGGGCAGGGCTCTGGCCCACGTTCAGGGCAAGTGCGAACACTGGCCCAGAACCGCGGGTTCGGACCTGCCACACCCCCCACCTGCAAGGAGGCACCTCGGGCAAGGACGCCGGGAGTGCTCCCAGCCTTCTGTCGCTTCTGCAGCTTGGACAGACGGGCCTGTGTGTATCTGGGAACGCTCCCGGCAAAGTAAAGCTACGTGAACGAGGGCAGCACCTCCCTCCTCTCCAAGCTCACCTTGTACCAGCATCTCACTGCATCCACCTCCCCTGGGCTCCTGGTGTGCACGTGGTCTTGCCAGTCCTTACATGCAGACTGCACGGCCTGTCCCCCCTCTGTCTCCGCCCCTCTGGCCTAACTTGCTGTCTGCTCTGGTCTCCGTGAGGCTGGTTACCAGGGGCACTCAAGTCAGCTGAAATTTCATCTCCTCGGAGAGGCCTCCCAAGCACCCTTTCCAGCTCAGTGATGAATACTTGCCTGCATTTCATTGACTGTGACCCACGTCTCCTTTACTGAATATAAACTCCATCAGGATATCAGGGATCATGTCTATGGGATCACTGATCTGTCCCCACAGCCTGCAAAAATGTCTGGCATGTAGGATGTTCAAGAAATGCTGCCTGAAAATGAGCAGATGATGACATGCAGGACAGGGATGCCTGCCTCAATTGATAAGTATGACAGGAGCAAGGCATTAGAAAACAATTCCTAAACAGAAAGTCCAAAGTCTGAGTTTGTTAAAAGTTTCCTGTGGTCAGAGCTGTATACACAGTGCTTGGATTTTCTCTTTTTCTTCCCCCATTTTGTCTGTTTGGTAGTGGTGGTGGTGGTGGTGATGGTGGTGGTGGAGGTGGTGGTAGTGATGGAGATGGTGGTGGTGATGGTGACGGTGGTGGAGGTGGTGATGGTGGTGGAGGTGGTGGTGGTGATGGAGGTGGTGATGGTGGTGGTGATGGTGGA